GACTGTCCGACCGACTGTCCGACCGACTGTCCGACTGACTGTCCGACTGACTGTCCGACTGACTGAACGATTGACTGACCCCACCAACTGACCGATATCCTGCTTGTATTCAGTAGTTTGTGTTTTCAAGCACGAGACTCACTGCGGCAAATATTCGGTCACCATATTAGACGGGTGGAAGATTTGGGACGAGTGACAAAGCAATGGAATATTCGCCGCGCTGAATCTCGCGCTTGAAAACACAAACCACCGTCACAAGCAGGCTAACTACCCGACTGACGAGCTGACTGTCCGAACAACTCAGTGACCGACCAATCAATTGACCCACCGACCCACCGACCGACTAGGCATGACCAAAAAATAAACTAATTTGGTTATATCAACTAAGTTAAAATTGTAAATTGGCCAGCGTAACGAGTTAAAAAGCTGACGTTTCGAGTGTTAGCCCTTCGTCAGAGCGAATGAACTGACTGACAGACTTACAAACCAACCTAAAGATAGACTAATGGATAGATGAACAATTAATTCATAAAAAGGTTAAGAGCGAGGAATAGAAAAGTAATAAAACAGATACGCAACGAAAAACAGATAAGATACTCAACGAAACACAGATAATTAAGAAATGCTACGAAAAACAGATGAGATGCGCAACTAAAAAGAGATAAGATGCGCAACGAAAAACAGATAAGCATGAAAGGCACTTACTCTTTCACCAGCTTCACCTTTGTCGCCTTTTTCTCCTCGCATGCCGGGTAAACCCTAGAAAAAATTCGAACTGTATATTAATATATATATATATCAACGTGGTGCTGACAGAAAAGACTTTGTAGATATTCGGGAGTAAGGTCATTCATAGTTTTATCCATCAATAAGGCTTTTTGTTTCTTTCGTCGAAGAGATAGCCCCTCCCAGTCGAGGGTGGAGAGAAGGTGGTTTGAGCTCGTATCAAGGGGTGATTTAGTAATAACTCTGGCTGCACAATTCTGTAATTTTTGGAGCTTATCACTCAAGTAACCAGTCAAACAGTCCAAGACGTAGCCTCCAACGTAGACGTTCTTTGGGCTCGTCCCGCAATCTTTCTCCCCCACGAACGTCTGCTGAAACGAATGGGTTGTTTAATTAGACCAATCACAGCGCACTTCCCGATCAAGGCAGCGAACTTTGAACATTGATAAATTTTCTCTTGTTGACGGTGTTTCCTGGGTATTTAGCCAAGTGCTTCCACCGAGTATATCATAACTTTCGCCTATTATTCGATCATTTTCGGCGTTAGAAGAAGTAGAAGTGGTAGGGGATTGTTCAAATCTCAGTGATTTCGCTGCAGATCGTTGCTGCACTTGTAAAGCTGTTGTAGGTTCGATCTGGCACGTCAATGTTCTCAATGTCCCCGTCGTTTTCAGCGGAATTTCGACGTAAGCGTTTCGTTCTATTTGCTACTTTCTTAAAGTCTTCCTTTATCTCATCCTCAAGGGATCGCAGATTTGTTTTAGCTTTTTCAAAACGAAGTAACCGCTTGTAGCACTTATTGCAGACGAACGGGTCGCTGGACGAAAACACACTCAAATCTGTTTGCACAGCGCATTCAATTAAGTGTGCAATATCCACTGAACTCTTATTCTCGCCTGCGGGATTAACGGAAAACTGCACAGAAAACAGTTCTTTCCGACGATTTTTTTCGGAGTTTCTGAAGCAAGGTTTTGAGATCTGTTTTCCATGAGTAATAAGAAACGCGAGAAAATTAAACCTCCTCTTGGGGGTTGTTCTATCACAGCTTATGATTGGCTTTCTATTGAACAATAACCAAGCGCCAATTGGCTCTTCAGTGATCTCCACGTGCTCTCCGTCTGATCTGTTTGAACAAAGGGAAAGGAATGTGCTCATTCGTTTCAGCAGACGTTCGTGGGGGAGGAAAATTGCGTGACGAGCCCAAAGAACGTCTGCGTAGGACGCTATCCCAGACGGGGCTGCAATAATCAAAATGAGGCATAATTAAAACGTTATAAATCTGAATTGCAGTTTCTTTGGATATAGAGGGTCGCACACGTTTTGGGGTGCCTATAGCTGAAAAGACTTTCTGGCAAATCTCTTCAACGTGTTTACCCCTAGAAAGTTGAGCATCTATGGTAAGACCCAAGGATTTGGTCTTATCGACTCTCTTGATAATTTGGTCAAATCAATTCTCATTTCTAAATCGTCACATTGGGCAGATAGTCTTTGTCTTGATCCAATAATCAATAGCTCTGTTTTAGCAACATTCAGACTGAGCTTGTTAGCTTTCAGCCAACAGCTGAGGTTATTTAATTCACGGGTTAGAGCTAGCTTAAGCTCTATTAACGTCTTACAAGATAACGTAAGATATGTGTCATCGGCAAACATTCTTGGTTACATCAGATTTTGAATAATGGATATGGGGCACCTATCGTGGTTCTAATTGTATCCAAAATACTTTTCATAGAGTAAAAAAGGCACCATAACCGCTGGAATTTACTCGAGTTCATCCAAGGTCAAGTGTTAATCGTTTGCTTTGAGAAGAAATAAATGGAGTGGTAATAACAAGTCTTTAAACCTTATGTTTACAGCATCGGTATTTTCACGGTAATATAAAACCCATGTGAAGATAAAGTAATTTTAATTTAATAGAAATAATCCGAGCCCCAGATGGGACTTGAACCCACGACACTCCGTGATCTAGTCAGATGCTCTAACCACTGAGCTACTGGAGACTCTATGGTGAGCAAGGGTCAATTTGTGGGCCTCGACTGGAACCGCATCGCGCAGCTACACAGCCAAGTATTGGTCGCGCCTGTGATATAAAAACCGGCTGATTAAAAGCTGACGTCACGAGGTTTTGCCGTTTGCCAATAAAATACAATAATTAGGGCCCCCCATGGGCTGATTTTTGTGATGCCTTATCACGAGGTCAGCGGTATCACGTTGCACGTTTTTCAAGATGGCAGACAATTACAGTGACTATTTGTTGATAAAGTGAAATGGAAAGAGCCTCTGATATTATCATTGGACTTTGCCAAAAAGTTTTGATAAGAAGCAATGTGCGAATTTTTAATCTTTAACACCCAAATAAGGTACGAAAAGCAGAAAAATTTTGGCAACTTATCGGCAACTTTTTCAAAACAATAGCAACTTTTTGGCAACTTTTGGACACTTTTATCGGCAACTTTTTTGGGATTCATCGGGCACTTGTGGCTAGGCCTACCGGCGAGAGGTCTAGCAAATAAAATTATTAGTGGCAGACTCTCGACAAACCTCTTCCCGACTCGTCTATAACCTTCCCGCGGGCGGAGGCCTACTCGTAGGCTATGCGTAACCTCTCTGATGGTTTTTATGTCGAAAAATTTCAAATCTTGGGAACGTTTGTCATCACTAAGCCAAGTTTTAAGGAACGGATTACTCATTAGTTAGCACAAACAAGTAATCAGGATGTTCACGTTACCCTTGGTCCTTTGTGGCCCGTCATTCCTGCCATTCCTTCAATTCCTCTGTCTCCCTGAAAAAGTAAACACGTAGAAGTGTAGTTAGAGCATGCTGAGTTTTTTCGTTTTCAGCACATTCATTAATTGATGGTAGGTCTTATTTTTTTTTTCTGGGGGCAAAACGACCTGGGGTGAATCCACCGTTGGGGACTAAACGACCTGGGACGAATCCGATCCAGATGGGGGAAACGACCTGAGGCGAATCCGACGTTGGGGGCGAAATTGCCTGAAGCGAAACGAAAATGGAGGCGAAACGAACTGAGGCCAACTCGACCTTAAGGCGAAACGACCTGGGGCCAATCCGACCCTGGGCGCGAAATGATCTGCGGCGAATCCGACGTTAGGGGCGAAACCTGAGGCGAATCTAACACACGGCCTCCTTGAAAAGCAGGTGTTTTCTTTTCATTTTAATCATTTTAGTTTTTTTTATCTTAGATTCTAGTTTAGTTAGATAGTTAGTTTTCTCTACTTGAATGTAAGTGTGTCTGAAGGAAATAACGCGTATAAATAAAGTTACCATACCACCATACTATACATTAGGGGGGAAAAGACCTGGGACGGATCCGACCCTGGAGGCGAATCCGACCTTGGGGGGCGAAACGGCTTAGGCGAATCTGTATCATACTTGACACAGTGCCATGGATAATAATTTCATCGCAAATAGCCATCATGTAGCCTTGATAGCCAAGTTGCTGAACCCTTCTTCCCCTGCATTCTTCCTCAATACCTTTTCTCCCATAGCTCCAGGTGCACCTCTTGGCCCGTCCGGTCCGGCGGGACCCTGAAAGGAAATATATGGTCTTGTTTAAAAACCCAGGGTTAGATAATTGGGCCCTCTTTTAAAAAACGTCGCCTGGCGTTCAACAACAGAATACAGTTGCACATCAGCAGAGTCAACGGCGAAGTAGATACTACGATCTACGTTATTGGACAAAGCGTTGGAAAACAAAATCAAAGTAAAGACAACGGCCAATCAGGGCAACAATAGATATCACAAAGAACCAATAAGCACTCAAAGCGGGCCTCAGGCGTGGAGATACGCTGATGAACACGGCGAGATTGGTTTTAGATTTCCAGCTGAAGAAATAAGAGAAACACACGAGATTCATGGAACAATTTCAAAGTGATGTTAAGGAAAGCCATTGCGATTCCAGATTACTTTTGACAAAAAATATTCAGGTATTGAAGCTCACCGGTTTTCCCGATCGACCAGGTGGACCTCGGTTACCTTGGTTACCTGGTAAGCCCTGTGAAACAAAATCAGAACACAAGAAGCTAAACAGTTAGTTTCTGGTTAAATCAGAGCTAGGAAAATGTGACATGGATTGTTACAATTTTCCACTCTCAAAGTTGCCATCGGAAGATGATGTATTCAAGCAAAAATAAACGAAAATTACGTTTGTGTTATCTAATGCAGGATAGTAGTATTTCCAAACATCTTTGAGGACTCAAATGGTAAAACCCACAGGGTAAACTATTGAGTTATAACATAACATTGATACACTAAAACTAAAGAGTTCCCTTTTATTTAACGCTGAAATCTTACGCGACCAGAAAAAACAGGCGCGCGGGAACTAGTCTTTGGATTTACTCACGTCAGCAGCGTAAACCCATGGCCAAACGGCGGACAGCGAATTGACCAATCAGAGCGCGCGCTTTACTTTGGTTATGTTATAATGATACTGCTACTATTACTACTATATAAAGTAACTGAGATACTACAAACGCCATAATTGGTCAAAAACTTATCATTTATTGCACTGGTAAAACCTTGGTTATTTAATAATTGCAAACCATTTACTGCATTGATAAATGCAATAAACCGCATTTGTAATAAAATGTAATAAAATGCAATAAACCGCATATGTTATAATGATACTGCTACTATTACTACTCTATAAAGTAACTGAGATACTACAAACGCCATAACTGGTCAAAAACTTATCATTTATTGCACTGGTGAAACCTTGGTTATTTAATAAATGCAAACCATTTACTGCGTTAATAAATGCAATAAACCGCATTTTCTATCGTTTTACCGGCAATAGTAACCCACTTAGAATGCTAGGAGAAGCTTGGGACATTTCTCGTGATATCCCAACATCCCAAGTGAGTTATCGGAAAATCGATAGAAAGTGGGTTCTACTGCTTAAATTACGTATGCTCGATTGTAAAAACGTTGGCCCCGGAGAAGCATGATGCACGAACGTTAAGACCCAACGGCTTCATGGGAGATAACGTTTAAGTAATTTCTGTTTTTAAAAAATTTCTGTTCTGTTCGGTTTTTCTTTTTCAGTGAATAAACGCTGATAGTTTCGAAAGAAACTGTTTGGGGCTGCGTCGGTGGGAGTAACGAAATAACTTGGATATATCAACAAAGTTGAAGTGGTAAATTGGCCACCGTAACGATTACAAAAGCTGACGTTTCGAGCGTTAGCCCTTCGTCGGATGGATTACGTCAGAGTATAATTAGGTAAAAGGAACGATGTGTTTCTTACCGGGACTCCTGGATCTCCCTGGGATCCCTTCTCACCGGGGTTTCCCGGTAGTCCCTGCGGTGAAAAGATTAGAGCAAGTTCAAATAAGATTACATCACCTTCAATTAGGAATATTTACGATATTTTCTTGATAATCAAGATTTTCGCTCCTTTCTAAGATATTTTTTTCTTCAAACTGAAGCACACTGCAAGAGTTTATGAAATGTAGACATTCGTGCGGCAACCAGAACCAGATAAACATTATTGTCCACAATATTAATCTCAGAGACTTTTGAAACGTGCCAAGACTCTATAACGTGTCTTGTTAAGTATGATGAGTGTGAGAAGCACATGGCAAATAAAACTTTGTCTGACGATTAATGGGTGGCAGTCAATAACAAAAATCTCTGCCTTTGTTCGACCCCAGATATATGGACAGAAGACAATAGAGCGACCTGGGAAAGGAATCAAACCTTGAATAGGAGGCAAGGACTAACGCGTTTAATCCGCGTTTAATGCATAAATAATGTGTCTAAGAGATTAGAATGGAGTGAGTGTGCGAGGGAATTTTAAGTCCTTACCTATACCCCAGAGCATGACTACGTCATACCATGAGGTAAAAGTGACACAGTTCATTTACATCAACTCCCTTATTACACGAAAGGCTTGTTTTTACTCACAGGTTGACCACGTGCTCCTCGTTGTCCCCGTGGGCCTGGCTCTCCTGGCTAAAAGAGATATGTAAATAATTAAATAAAAAACAAAAACAAAAACAAAAACAAAACAAAAAACAGACAAAAAAAAAGTAATGACATGACAACAACCTTGGATTCTGGTTTGACTCAAACCTATCTATGGTTAATCATATCACCAAAACTTGTTCTGTAGCGTTTTATTATCTTTATAACATTAGAAGAATAAGAAAGGATCGAACTAAAGAATGTACTGAGACACTTATATATGCTTTTATGTCTGGCCGCCTGGACTATTGTAACAGCCTCTTATTTGGAGCTCCTGAATGCCATCTACACAAATGATAGAGAGTCCAAAATGCATCTGCAAGCCTCATATTCCAGGAGAGCAGATTTTTTCACGTCACACCTCCACTTAAGTCATTACACTGGCTGCCTGTTAAAATATCGCATAGCTTTTAAAATCATCTTAATTACTTTTAAAGCAATGCATGATCTTGTCCCGGCCTACGTAAGTGTGCTGATTTCTGTTAGAGACACCGGAAGATATGATTTAAGTTCCAATGACGGCTTACTCCTTGCTTCTGGCAAGGGCAAAACACTCACTACGCTCGGCGATCGTTCTTTCTATGTAGCCTCCCCGAAATTGTGGAACGATCTTCCGAGCTCTATCAGAAATACCCAATCTTTAAACTAGTTTAAAAAACCATTAAGACTTTGTTATTTGCAAAATCTTTTTAATTCTTTGTATGTAGTTTTTATATTTCTACATCATCTTAACACTTTTATTTTTTAGTGTTTTAGTATCTATGTAGAGTTGAACGTTTAACATTTAATCTTAATGCTCAATTAAAAATTCTTGTCTCGATAATTGCGCAATACCAGTCTATAAATTATTATTATTAACCAATCAGTTGAAACTCTGGTAGCTCTATGTGAACCAGAATAAGAAAGTTCGTTACTTAAAAAGCACAGAAAACGCAGAACAAAGAATTTTGTTCGAATTTGCTATGACTTTGTGTTAACCCAAAGCGGAGGCCTGTTCAGAGGCTACGATTGGTTAAAAAAAAACTCACCACTGCAGGGGGCTCGACCACGAGACCGCCCGCTACGGGGCCTGGGCCTTTTTCATTCGATCCTTGAAGTCTATTCCATCTCTGAAATAATAAATAATAAATAATAAATGTTCTAGAGTACATAAAAAATAGAACATTCCCAAAATTAGGTCTGACAAACAGCAACTCAATGAGGAAATTGTGACAATTTTGTTTGTTTGTCCACCAATGCCGTCAAATTTCTAGTTTGCATTGTGTACTTAGTGGTCATACGAGAAAATGAAAGTTTTGTGGTCGTTTCGTGACGATTTCATTGACTATTTCTTCTCTCGAAGATATTTGATTACACAATTTCAGAAGTTGCCAGAGCGCTCTTCAATTGACTCAGTGAGCTATGATTAAAAAAATCCCTTAGTAATTACAACGACCAATCAGAACTGACCAGACAGGAGAACATTTAAAGCCAGAATTAGCACGTATAATAGCATTCCTCAGATGCGGAAAACGCCAGTGTCACCTTTGGTATTACTTTACCGTGTGATTGGTTGAGAGATTGGCACTAGTTTCTCGACTAATCCGATATCATATGATGGCAAGGTAACGCAATCATATGGTAACGGATATCTTTCAACACTCAACTACCTTTCAACACTCAAATTGCTCCAGAAAGGATGGATTGCGATTTTACTTACAACATAGATTCCGTCACCAGGGGGCCCTGGAGGGCCGGGAGGTCCAACTGTACCGGGAGATCCTGGGGGTCCCTATATGAAAAAAAATTGCGCTATTACCTAGTCCAAAATAATGCTCAACTACATGTTTCTCTTCAATACTTTACCAAACTGGTCCACGTTTCATGTAACGGTCAGGGGTGAAACAATGAATGAGTGTGTTTAATCTTCTTGAAAGGTGTTATGCAGTCGCTGAAGGATGAGATTTAGTTTTACTTTGGAAACGGTTGGTAGCCAGCCATGTCAATAGCTTCCCGATGATGGCGCGGTGTTGATAATCAGCAGCACAACAGCTATGTTTTAATTACCGACAAAAGGAAATCTGCGCATTGACTTCGCCCTTCGTAAGTGCTATTATCTAGTATAGATGGCTTGTCGTTTTTTTTTTTTTTTAACTCGTCAGAAGGTTGCACCCACAATCTTGCAGTGACACCACTATTCGCAAGTGCGATTATCTACTAAAGATAGCTTTTTTTTTTTTTAACTTATGAAAGAGTCGCGTCCACAATCTTTCAAAATTCGCGTTTGTTAGTAGAATTACTGTGGGCTCAGTCAGGTTTCGAAAACTTTCGACTGGTAGTTATTCCCATGACGCTGGTTTTATGTCTGTGGAAATGACGCCAGAACATACCTTGGATCCTTGATCTCCTCTAGGCCCATTGTAACCTTTTTGGCCAACCGGCCCTTGCGGTCCCTGTCAAAGAAAAAAAGGATACATTTTTATAATGAAACAAACAAACAAACAAAAGACAAATGGCAAGGAAGGTTAGGACAGAAATGCGTGGCGGTGAGCGAATTAATCGCAAGAGATTCTTGGATTTGAATAGCACAAAGGGATACCAACTAATCTGCTCTATTTGATGACTTCCCTTACCACACCTGGCCCGCGCAACCCCACTATCAAACCTTCCATATCAATTACGCATTTACTTTCCCATCGAGCTCACAAGACCGTAAAAAAAGAAACACTGCTAGTGGTACGTTTCATTTACCTCACCGAAAAAAAAAAAAAAATCCTGTGAATCAATCACTTGATTGTCAGATTAGGAATTAAGACATAATGGTACATACCAAGGCACCTGGGGGCCCAGGTCTTCCTCTCTCGCCTTTGATCTGAAAAGAAAATTACCTTTTTTTTAAGAAGTACAATCGTTTATGTCTTGATGCGATCAGTTTGGATAGGGCCGATCGATCCGGGTCGAAAAGTGGATGTGGATGCGATGTGGATGCGATCCACATCGAAAGTGACCACATCATGAGACAAACGATTATACTATAGATACAAGTGCTTTCAATTTTTTTTCTTTAGATTAGTTAACAAAAAGAAAAAGCCAAGATAGATAAATATAAAAATTGGAAGAGACAACCACGAAAAATGCTTCCATTTTGTAAAACGGAGCGAAAAAATGGAAATAGGTTTGGGTGAGGTTCTGTTCTTCGCGTGAGCCAACCCAAACAACCCCCGTTTTCTCGTTTGGCCTCCATCATCACGCCACTAACCCTTTCACTCCCAAGATCTAATTAGTAATTCTCCTTTCTGTCTGCCATACAATTCTTATGATGTTAGTTT